GATTCTTCCTCCGACATGAATGTATATATTTGAAATAGTGGTATTCACAAAGAAGATTCTCATTGGGAGCAAAGATGCTTTTACTCTAAATTCTTATGTACACAATCACAAAACTTGTCGAAAAGATAACCTACACGTTCCCCACTCTGGAACTACACTTTATCAAAAAAGTACCCTAATAGAGAGCATTTCACTTTACAACAAACTGGGCAATGATATTAAAGACATTAACACAATTCATACATTTAAAAGCAAAATGAAACCTTTCCTCCTGTTCGAACTGTTGTTGAATAGCTTAATATTTCTTTCAGACATGTCATTTTCAAATTTTTTTCCAGCAATGTAATTATCCTCAAATTCCAATTTTCAGGATCTACTTGCATCCAAATACTGTTCCAAGTGAACTATTTACAAAATATTTCTTAAAACTTGTTAAAAGTGTTTTTTTAACAGAAGTCACTAGATGCACATTATCTCAATATTTATGATGCAAGCAGTTATTAAAAATAAATTTTAAAAACACTTTTTTGGTATCAGGGGACCCAAAACTATTAATATTCACAGCAATTCATAAGATTTTCTATTCTAGGCGTATTAGTCACGCATAACTGGGAATAAATATTTGTCAATAGATGTGGCTTGAGTCGTATTCCTGTGATTTTATAATTTTTTTTTGGTTTTTGGAGTTACTTTAAATAAATCCTTTGGGACATTTTCAATATTTTTCTCAAAAACAACTCTGATATTTTTCTTTAAATTTCTTGTAATAGAGTCAAGATCAGTTTTAAAGATAGTGTAGGACTGATTGCCTCTGTTAACTCAGAATTTTGGATAATTGGAATGGAATTTGGGATGTGAAATTTTTTGGACTCCCTTGCACAACTGCATTATAGAAGATAGAACATTTTCTTCAAATGAAACTTGTTTTTTATTATTAGTTTTTTAATGAAATTCTCAAGTGACTACCGCAAGTGTCCATTTTTTCCTTGAAAACTTCAATTTGAAAAAAGGGTTTGCTCTCTCTTCTCTGATATTCACAAAACACAGAGATGTGAAAAAAATGTTCATTAATGAACACAATATTATATTATTATAAAAGTTGAAGAAAGGGTGGTGTCATTGCTGCTAAGGCAATGAATGAAATTAAAAATTGAGATAATGAGATTCACTGTTACAAAGACCTCATCCTTGTTCGTCATTTTTGTTCATGTACACATCAAGAAGGGCAATTTATCTTGTGTATGTTATAGCTAGATAAATATTACCATTATTTTATTAATTTATGATTTTACATAATGATTGTGTACAGTGAAATCATTGCCTGCCGCATTGGGACAAGGCCATGGTTTCAAATCGCATGTAAACTACGATTATTTCAGTTGTCTGTATTTATGGCATGGGAGCATTCAAAGTTCCTCGTATATCCCCCCCCCCTCCACACACACACCTGTAATCCTTCGTTGTGATTGGTGACTGTCCTGACATATTTAAAATGTATCTGTAATTGAGGAACTGGCCATGTACACACAAAATAAGTGATTCAAGCTCTGGGACAGGCCCATGCACCTTTGACTATGAGCATGCGTTTAAATGTGCAGGAGTTATCTGCCTAAGATATGCTTCAGATGTTTGAGAAGCATGATGGAGCTCATCACTGGTAATTCTCCAGGAAAGCATTAGTTTCCATGGGATGCCCTGGTAGATCTCTTAGGCACTAAAATATGGAATGAGGGATGAGGGTGGGGCAAAAGAGAAAGGTTGCCCCAACTCAAAAGAAAAGGGAACTAGTAGAAAAAAGTCTGTGCCATATTGAAGCACAGTTTTAAAAACTAAATTCAGATCACTTGTTCCTTCAAAAGTAAAATTTCTAAATATGAACTATGAAAGCATGTGATAAGAATAAACGCCATTAATTTATGAAGTTATTTTCACGGATCTAGTTTGTCATTTCTGATCACACCCTAAACTATGGTAATACCATAGTTTTAAAGAAAGTACAAGCTGAAATGCATTTTGAATGAAATATTCAAGATGCCATCTTAAAACGTCAAGTAACCTTTCACACTTCTTACAAGAATCACGTCTATAACATGTCATCTAAAAAAATATACTTGCTTAGGAAAGGCATCTCAAGACTAAATAGATACTTTTCAATTCATGATGTGAAATTTCGATACATTCTATTCTGTTTTATCTTCTACACCCTTAAATAGTCACTCTTGTATTCACTGAACACAGCTGTCACATATTTATTTCCTCTTAGATGATTAGGACTGTTTATTTGTCTTGTGTCCTCTTATCCCTGGAGTTTCCAGTTTCATCCAAGTGTTTCAAGTATAATTACTCAACACCAAGTATTGAAATTTCTGGAATCTCAAAGATGGCACCTCTTGTATACAACATACACAGAGAAACGAGTTGCATATACAAATTCTTTAAGATTCAATAAAAAGATAATTCTTTTTTGTACATCTCAAGCAAAGAGCAATTCTGTAAACTGTTTTCAGTTTTCAAAAAGAAAGAGATTTTGTTCGTAAAAGGGTCAAATTTATCACTGTACTCAAACTTTGTTGAAGCTTTTAGCACACTACATTTTTGTAATTCAACAAAAGAAAGGGTCAGCATGGAAGATTAATCACTTATTGATTGATGAATCACCTAAGTTTGTACAAGTCCTAATGTTGTGTTTTTGTTAAATAAAAGTGTTAAGCAGGGCTGTGAATCTGATGACATGTCAGATTTTCATTGATGCATTCTAGACGAAACTAACTTGTAAACGAATGTTTATCATAGCATATAGGAGGTAGAAATGTATAATTATAGGGCCATTTTTTCTGGACCATTACATCATTTTTATTATCTTTGCACCCTTTCTTTCCTTCTCATATCAAAGTTTTTATTGTATCATCAGTTCATGAAAAAATTCACTTCTGCATTATGGTGTGTTTTTCGAACTCTCAAAATTACATGGATCTTCGGTAACTTCCTCACACCTTTCAGAACTGACTGTTGGCAGGATTACATTTTCTCCTAAAATAAAGACTTTATATTAAATATAATTTTAATATAAAAATACATTTTATATACCATTGTGAAATTTACTGCATAAATAAGTATATTTATACACATTTTTGAGTATTTAAAAAAAAGAAGTAATTTTCCTCTTTTTTTTTAAAGTTGTTTTTAAAGGTCTTTTTAGGTCAACAGATTCCAAGCCATTGTGATAAGTGTGTAAAGTGGTATACACACAATTCGTGATGACTAATGTTACAATAGGAGACACATTTTAGGTTTTTAAATTTAACATATTTCTTTCTTTCTAGTACTATTAAATTCCTATGTTAAATTTTTATTAATGACCGTGTTCTCCGCATTTATTCAACTGCCCATCTGCTACAGCAGACACACTGCCAAGAACCTTTTTCTATGATCGGCACGAAATGAAACTCAACCTACCACTTCATGCAGCACAATATACAAGGATCACTTGATTTCTAGAAATGCAAGTTTAAAAGAAATTTAACATTCTCTCTATATTTTCTTGAAGTACTCCCCCTTCATCAATGCAGTCAGCCATCATTTTAAACCATTCCTGGAAGGCTTCGTGACACTGCTGTTTTGGCAGGTGTTCTAAAAATTCTTACACTCTTACAGAATATTCTGAAGTCCTAAACCACCATCTTCTGATGAATATCTTAGTTCATGAAAACAAAAAGAAGTTGCAGGGACCCATATCTGAACTCTAGAGAGGCTGCTTTAAAATTTACACATTGTTTTTTAATAAAAAGTGTATTGGTTCATAGAGTTGTGTGCACTGGAGCATTACAACGGAAACCTGACCCCACAGATCTCTGAATGCTTCCAAAGATTTCTGGGAGAAAATTGTTGGTACCAGTGTACTGGCACAGTACTACGATCCTCCAGTCCAGCATTTGCAACAAGATCACTGGCAGAACATTTTTTTTTTAATGCTGCAGGATCTCTTCACTTTCATTGGTCAGTCTCTTCGGAGAAGATGCATCAGTCTTGTTTTGTTTTAGGGTCAAACTGGCATATTAAAAATTCGCCTTCAGCACCAAAGTACAAATCTTTCTTTGAGTGCCTGACATTTAATCTTTGTAGCATTTCTTAATAGTTTACACAACCTGTATTTTGTTTTAGTCAATTGATGAGGGTTCTAGGGCTTCCTAACACAAAGTTCATTATTCAAAATTCGTGACTCCATAGAGGATTTGATACCCAAGACCTGTTCTATCTACTGGTTAAGTATACAACATAGGCATTGCAGCATTGTCTGAACAGATGAGATGCTCTCTTCCCTTGTGGCTGTTTAAAGGGGTGTCCTGCACGAGTTTCAACTTTGGGTATTTCTGCCCAACAAAATTCCAAATACAGTAAAGTCAGTCTAGGCCGGACTCTATCAGTACAAAAAGAAAAGTTCCGGTTGAGGAAGGTTTCCATTTTATGCAGTCGTCCATATCGACACTTGTGATATTGATATTTCAGTTCTGAAACCAGTAAATTAATGCAAGAAAAGAAATAATTAAAGTAATGCAAAAGTTATATGATTTTATTATGATTAATAAAATAGATTTACATATAATGTATTTACACAAATCACCAATAAATCAATATTAAACATTTTTCACTGACAGCTTCCGAGTTTCTCTTGCTTCCATAACTTTGATATTTTCATCTAATGTTAGAGAATGCTAGAGTTTTATGGTTTTCACACTGTTAAGGTGGTTGTGAAACTCAAAAATACACAACACCACCTCACTGCTTAATGGCTGAAATCAGATTACTTGCTGACTCAATGCACAATGTGTCACAGCCCAGAGGACAATGATATTCTGATACCCTCTCATGACCTTGAGCAATGCATCTCGAACCGAGGGGTCCAATTTTGTACGTGGGGCAGAGAGGGGTGTGAATATAAGCCATGCCTGTACACCTTTTCATGCTCAGTGAGGACGGGGCGGAGATTCCCCTATAGCCTACAAGTGACCCCAAAGTCGAATTCTACGCTGTCAACTGAAGCACCTCTCTTTTAGAGTAGTTGCCATGACTAAATTGCACGGTAGAGCGTATTTATAACAGGCTTGCATATGCAGTCATTACATTAAGAGTATCTCAGGTCTCTGCCAAATCGCATTAAATTTGCACTAATTCAGTTTTATAAAGATTTATCCCCCCCCATACAGGACATGAAAATCTGTTCTGTTTCCGCAATAGACAGATTCAGTTTTATGCTCTGTAAAATACCATATAACTTAATGGGCCAGAGAAATTTTCCGATTAAGGCAGATTTCCGGCTAGTACAGGTCCTGGTTTAGACAGATTTTACTGTACCATTCATAAAAGGTTGATTGCAATGAGGACGAATCTCCAAATGCACACTTCAAATGTTCAAGGAATGTTTTTTAATCACATGCCAACTCAAAATCGAAAGATATTTGCAAAAAAATCCTCAGTGATTAGTTCCATAACAATCTAAAACAAAGTTACAACTCGCAGAACAGAAAAAAAGGCAATTTCAAAAGAACTTGCCTGACCACAATAATACTTCCAAGAGGACTTTCCAATACTCCCTTTTAAAAACATTATTGACCATAGATCAGAAATACAAATGCTTTCTTCAAACTTCTGGAAACTTAGGGCGCACTTCATATAACAGGATTCATTTCTGGATCTACAATATATTTGAAAAGAACCAACATCATATTTGTTATCTTATTAGTATTATAGTAATTTGGGGAATAGAGTTTTTTGGAAAATATGCAATCCTGCATTGATTAAGAAAACCAACAATAGTTTGATAAATGATAAAAAGGAAGTACCTAAAGAAAAAAATATATTTTCATTTGAAAAGGGAAAGGACATTGTGGGAGGTCCAAAATGAACACCACAGGTAATGAGTAAAAAAAGTATCAATTTTTCAAAATAACAAGTGTCCCATGTAAAAGATTTATATACACACATACATGCAAACATTTTCCCACAATTACACAAGTATGTATATATAATATAGATATCTCTATTAACATTGTTCATTCATATCACTTAAATATGGCTGCAAAGTTTGGTCATCAATAACTGGCAAGTATCAGTCTGCTTCCAAGCTTATTCTGCGTTGCTGGATATGTACATGATGTCCGGAAGAAAGCTTGGTGCAAAAGAATGGGCATAAGTGAAAAGTAAATCAGTCAACAGCAGCAAATTTGACTTTTTACTTTGTCAGTGCACTCTGAGTTTGGCTCACACGTTCAAGCTTTTCAAAATGTTTTCTTGCATTTCGTATGTTAATTAAAGTGGCTTCAGAAGCTGTGAAAATGCAATGTTTTGTTAAAACTGGAAGTAAAAGAAAAATATTAAAAAAATGTAAATAAAAAAATACCCACGTATAGCCGGGTCTGACATTATCATTACATATGTGTTGGATGTAAACACATCAATGAAAGCTGCAAAATTACTGTTACGAACTTCCATACTTTGGAACTGTGCAGCTAATTTGCTGAAACAATTATAAAAATGGACACAAATGATTAATTATTACTAGTATTACTTCATAATCCATTTACATATACATTTTGGGTACTAAATCAAACAAAATAATAACAAAATCTGGGTAATGTCTTCTAATCATAACAGAAATATATCACTAGATAAGATTTGGAAGAATCAACATATTTTACAAATTTAAATTCTTCGGTGTATGAATCGAACTTCATAAAGATACACGGGCAAACGAGAGAGGTACAACTAGCTTACAGTCCAATTCAAAATAGTTGCATTAAAAGGTCAATTTCTTACAAAGCATGTCATGAATGTTAAAGCAGAAGGTTCTAAGGTTCCGAATTTCTGTATTGAAAGAAGATGCTGGCAGGCTATTCATTTTGTGGAAGAATGTTTTACAAACCATTTTACTTTCTTGCTGACTCTGAACCTATGTAGTAAAGAGAAGGTATTGTAGTAAGAGACAGATTTTTTGATAACCATTACTGGGAGCTCCAGATTTTAAAAATAGAGAAATCTTGTTTCTCCATGTCTTAAATTACTTCTTCAATTACAATGTGTGGACATAATACATGTTTTATGTGTTCTTAATATTGAAAAATGTTTTTAGTGGCAAAATGTCTGTCAGTCCGTCCATTTGAAAGAAGTCTGATTTTCAAAACTGCACAAGTTCAACATCTTTTTGGTACATTCCTACAACAACAATATTAAAGTTAGAAAATGTTTCTTTTATGAAATTTGTTCGTGAAAGATAAGGTGAAATACAATTTTACAAATACAACTAAGGCAATTTTAAAAACAAGATTTGCCCAAACATTGTTTCCAATTTTTTTTCTTGAACAGACCAATGTACACTTATAACAATGGAACAGGTCTCATTTGCAGTGAAATTTCAAAAATTGCACAACTACAACATTGTGATGACTTCCTTAATGAAATTTAGTCATCAAAGGTAGGTCTTTAAATCAGATCATGAACAATTTTCTGAAAAAAGTAAGTAGTATTAATGTAATTTTTGTGTGAAATAAAGGCACTTCAAAAAGTTCTCAAAAGTGATCCCAATTTTTTTGTTGAAATTTTTTCTTGAGACAATAAATGTACACATAAAAAATGGTGAAAGTCCTAATTTTGTTGAACTCTTTTATGTTGAAAAGCTGAAACTTTTTTCCAGCATTTCCTTACAACTATAATAAAGGGATTTTATCTTAATGAAATCTGTTCTTTAAAACTGGATCTAAAACAACGTGAGCAATTATCTCTGAATTCTTGGAAACTTTAAACAAATATGTTCAACTTTGTTTGAAAAGTGTTAGAAAGTTTGTGTTCTTCCATGAAATATGGATATGTATCGTATGCTGAAATTTGGAACCTGAATTTGAATCCTAACATGAAAGTACTACAGCAGCTTATACTTTTTCATACTATTTTAATGGTTATATAATTCTATAAGTTTGATTGTAACTGCAAAAGTGTGTCCAATTTGCAAAAATATCTGCCTCAGCCGGGATTTGACCTCAGGCACGTAGACTTCATGAGCAGTTGCCTTAGTCATTACACCACCAAGCTCACCTATACTCGTGCGTGCGTGTGCGTGGTGTGTGTGTGTGTGTGGTGTGTGTGTGGTGTGTGTGTGGTGTGTGTGTGGTGTGTGTGTGTGTGGTGTGTGTGGTGTGTGTGTGTCGGTGTGTGTGTTGTGGTGTGTGTGTGTGGTGTGTGTGTGGGTGTGTGTTGGTGTGTGTGTGTGGTGTGGGGTGTGTGTGTGTGGTGTGTTTGTGTGTTGTGGTGGTGTGTGGTGTGTGTGCCTGTGTGTGTTGTGTGTGTGTGTGTGGTGTGTGTGTGTGTGTGTGTGTGTCTGGTGTGTGGTAGTGTGTGTGATGGTGTGTGTGTGGTGTGTGTGTGTGTGCTGGGTGTGTGGTGTTGTGTGTGTGTGTGTGTGTGCGCTGTGTGTGTGTGTTGGTGTGTGTTGTGTGTGGTGTGTGTTGTGTGTGTGTGTGGGTAGGTGTGTGTGGTGTGGTGGTGTGTGTGTGGTGTGTGTGTGGTGTGTGTGTGAGGTGTGTGGTGTGAGTGTGTGTGGTGTGGTCCTGTGGCTGTGTGGTGTGTGGTGTTGTTGTGCGTGTGTGTTGGTGGTGGGTGTGTGGGTGTGTGTGGTGTGTGGTGGTGTGGTGTGTGTGGTGTGGTGTGTGTGTGTGTGTGTGTGTGTGTGTGGTGTGTTGCGTGGTGAATTGCGTGTGTCGTGGTGTGGTAGTGGTGGTGTGGTGTGGTGTGTGTGGTTGGTGTGGTGGTGTAGTGTGTGGGTGTTGTGATGTGTTTTGTGTGTGTGTGTGTGTGGTTGTGTGGTGTGCGTGGTTGTCGTGTGTGGTGTGGTGGTCGTGTGTGGTGTGCGCTGTGTGTGTGTGTGTGGGTGTGTGTGTGGTTGTGTGTGTGTGCGTGGTGTTGTGCTGTGTGTGTGTGTGTGTTGTTGTGTGTGTGTGTGGTCGTGTGTTGTGTGTGTTGTGGCGTGTGTGTGTGTGTGGTGTGGTGTGTTGGTGTGTGTGGGTGGTGTGTGTGTGTGGTGTGTGTGTGTTGGTTGTGTGGTGTGGCGGTCGTGTGTGTGTGGTGTGGGTGGCTGTGTGTGGCTGTGGTGTGGTGTGGTGTGTGTGTGTGTGTGGTGGTGGTGTGTGTGTGTGTGGTGTTGTGTGGTGTGTGTGCCGTGGTGTGTGTGTGTGTGTGTGTGTGTGAGTAGTGTGTGCGTGCGCGCATTTTTTTGTTTTTTATTTAGTTACTATTTCACTCTAGGTTCTATAAAAGATAGCTCATATACAAAGAAATTGAACTCGCTTTCAAAAAATTGTACATAAAATTATTTAAAAATCTAATTTTGAAATACAAGTTTCATTTGAAAAAACTATCTTCGATAATGTAGTCATAGAAGGATGTCGAACAGAAGTACCAATGTTTGCAATTTTTGAAAATTCCTTTTCAAAGTTTTACTGAAATTGAACCTGCACCATTTTTATAAGCATACTTCATCTCCTATTACATCAAAAACAATTATTGTCAGAGCATTTTAATTCATTAGTTTCTAGAACAATTGAGTAATTATACAGAGAAGTTAAAATGAATTCAAATTTTCCTTATTAAAAGACACAGGCCAACAATCAAAACAGTTTTTGAGTGACTTCGCCTCATTCTTATCGTTTTTAGTGTGCCGATTCCAAAAATATCATTGAAAATGCTGTATCAACCACAGTTTGTTCACATTTTAAAATTTTCTCTGTAAAGCTAGGCAAATACAGCTCTGAGTCTCTAGAAATATATGAAGTGCGGGAAGTTACAATGAGAAAGTATTATTAGAATGACAAAGATGGTAGTATACGCTTTGGTAAAATATATCTAGATTGGGATCCCTTCCCCTACCGCACATCGATACACATGGCGTTTTTACAGCCAAGAGTTGCATTGGACCATGTTCGTTTTATTTCAGGCGTACATGTTTGCATTGCTACTATCAAGATAAGATACTAGTTTAGTAGTTAGTGTTTAGACATGGATAGTCATGACTGTAAGAACAGTCCTCACAGTTTTTGTTACATTTGTGGCGAATTTATGATTAAAAATATTAAAGGAACATTACTGACTTTGTTGGTGATCTAGACAAATCTTTGTCACTACATATGTTATATTTGTGTAGAAGACCTTAAAAAATGGTCAAAAAAGGAGAAAGTATTCATTAGATTTGCCATTCCAACAGTATGGAGCGAGTCAAAGAATCATGAACATGATAGAAACTTCTGTTGCATTGGTATTACAAATTGCAACTCAAATAAACAAAAAAGTGATTCAGTACTCATAAATACCATGTGCAATTCGACTCATAGGCTATAGTCTGGACCCTTGTGAAAAGTTTCCACAATTATCCACAGCAAAAGTAAAAGAGGGTATGTTCGTTGGGCCTGATACTGGAAAAATGATATTTGATTCACAATACAATGAAAATATACGTCAATGGACATGTAAATCCTTTGTAGAATGTAATGTTAAGAATATAAAGCCATCGTCTATGTTTAAATAAAGTTCCGTTGGTATTTTAAAAGTCTTTTACTTATCATTTTTATTGCGTATTTATATTTTCCCATATTTTACTAGATCAAATTATGACTAAACTGTGGATGATGGAAACGCACAGAGTTCAGATGTGGATTCAGTACCCAAAAACCTATAAAAATAACCTATCAAGATTTAAAGGTTTTTTGAAACATTTTTTCTCTGACTTATTTTTATGGTACACCCACACATTATTTGATAGCACATTGCAGTGCCATGGTAGACCCTTTGAGAACCACTGATTAGTTTAAAGGAGGAAGAGCAACATCTGCTTTGTTTTCATTTTCTGAATGATTTAAATTAGAAATGTTGGCTGAATTAACAAAACTTTTCTCAATTTCTTATTTTACAATGTACCAATGGTTTTCGTCATTTGATAAGGTTGAGAGATTCTCTTTAGTTTTGCATCTCAGAGCCAGCTAGTACAAATTTTGGAATGATTCCTTCTTTAGTTACAAGCTTCATACATATCAATCTTCTTCTTCTATCGGCATCTTTCACTTATCTTTGATTGCAGGGCTCTGGTGCGATTTTTTTTTTATTGTTAAATGATTGTCTGTGTTATGTTTCTTGATAAAAGTTTCCAAGTTAATTTTGAGGCAATCTGTTTTCTTATTTTCAAATTACTTTATTATTACTATTATTATTCATTACTATAACTTTCATTTTATTTTAATTTATTTTATTATTATTATTATAATTATTTTGAAATAAATTTTGCCTATGTGATATTACTGATTGACTTATTTTGCATGACTGGTTATGGTTGAGGTTTTCATTAGTGCTCTGGGAAAAATATTTACATCTTGCTTATGGATTGCAGCTCTTTACTTAAAAAGGACTTTTCACTATTTTATAGCTTTCCAAAACTTTCAAAGCACTTGTACAACCATAAAACCAGGGATATGTAGCCTAGCTGCAGGACTTGAGCTCTTCAGTGTAGTGGGAGATTTTTTTCCTTTCTCGGAGCAGTCTTGCTCACTTGCCCCCTCATATTCTTTACATAAAAAACCCTTGATTTCTACCATGCTGCACGATACCCATCAATACACATCTACATAATTATATTATTAAAAATAATGAGCAATCTTGTGTACAGCCCTAATAGTTACACTTGTAGTGGGGACAGCAGAATTGTAACAGCTGATACATGATAGTTTTGAAACCTATAATGAGCAAATATACAAAATAGGTAAAATTTTAATACACAAAAATGTTAAACAGTTATAAATAATCAATTCTGAGATGTAGTTTTCCAATATATTAGACCACAGTTTGATCAGTTTGGAACTAAATTTTTTTAGAAGTAGTCTGAAAAGTAGATGTTGTCTGAAAATATAATTTCTTATCCACGAAAAGAGAATATGAGATCTACAAATACACTTCTGGCAGAAGATACCGCAGAATGTCTTATACATCTTGAAATTGTACACAGCTCACGACAAAACTAGAGTGGCTCTACATCTTTATCAACAAATATTCGAGGGTACTTTTCTGTTTATCCTATTCAAATTTATATTGAAATTTATGTAAAAATATGCTAATTTGGCCTGTACAGTCCAAGATTTGACATTAAAGAAAAAAAAGTAACAGAGGAAGTTAAAAAGAATGATAAGAAATGCATGGAACAATCTACTCTAAAATGCAAGTCACTACAGAAGAGAAATGTACGAAGATTAAGAAAGAAAGAAATCGCACAGTATCACCATGACGAGGGATAATCCTTTTCATGCCTACTACCTAACTTAGAATAAGCCTCGACTTTCATTCTGCAGTAACGATGATGATGATGATGAGGATAATTGATATTATATATTGTAATAACTTATATAACCATTTTTCAGACTAAAAGTAAGTACCTGCAGCTAAGTTTGAATTGCTTAATTATATTTGATACTTTCTCGAAGCGGTGCACATCCCTGTGATGCCGTCTTTGGCAATGGGAAATCACCAGGAAAGTAGCTCGTTCAAAGAGCAAAACTTCATCTGCATCAATGATGTTAGCAAAATGGTTGAGGCTTTGTTCAAGTTCCTTAACATTTGGTATCAGCATGTACACAATAGATGACCATGCCTAAGAAAATAAAAGGTAGAAAAATTATTTTCAATTCCATAAAAAATATTAAAAAGTAGCTTTCATAAATATACATACCCTATACAATGTTTCATCCCAAATAGATGTTCTAAAACAAGTACATTCAAGAGGTTTTGACAATCTCTTTAAATCTTCTTCCCTTTCACGAAAAATCTGAAAATGAAAGCTCCCAGAACAGGGAGGGCACACAATAAAGAGGTAAGCAAAAACACTTAGTATCATTTATCTATCCAGAATATTCAAACATGCAATTCGACATATTTTGTTTGCACCTGTTGCAATGCTTTTGCATGTATCTGTTTACTGAAACAAACCAAACTAAGTTCACATATTAGAAAATATTTGTCAATGCTACTGTCCAGAAATCAGTAATCTAAATTAGCGAAATCATAATACTTAAATAAACATTCAATATGGTGCCGCAGGTCTCTGAGCTTGGCAATTTGGTACTGCGGTTGTCAGCCGAATGATTGATTAGTGATTCTGGATGCGCTAACTGCTAGGATCATTAGTCCCATTAGTGTAGTGCATGTTTTGTTGCAGGAGGTGGCAGTGATCTTTGCCTACTGGCTGGTGAGATTAGTCACTACCAATGTCAGCGTGCAGGGATTTTCCCCAATCAGGTATCTTCCACCAGCAGGGCACTACCCCAGACAGGACAATGAAAAATATGTGTTCAATATACCTCAACGAGTCTGTAACAAACAATTCTGTTTGAAGCATATTGCTTCACTAGATTTGCCCAGTGGTTTTCAAAATTGTTTTTTAATACATGAATTAACTATTTTTATGTAAGAATGTATCTGAAAATGTTCACAACTTCATGCTTAGGCAGGCAAAGGGGGAAGAGAGTATCTGGGGTTCGCGCTGTACCCTGGCCTATGAAGATGATGTTTCGCTGCAAACACCCTTCACTGCATTCGTAATCACCTCGTCTTCATTGTTCATCCCACTTTTAGTGCTTCCATTATCTTCCCCCTACAGCTTAGTCAGTCAAACAGAATGCTCTATCAATGAAATCTTTTTGAGAAGACTTTCATAACACACTCCAAATTTCACTTCAAATATCCTTCTCTTCTCTGGACAAATACAACTACATGTACTTTTCTGTGCATGTACTTCTCTCCATGTTCTTCATAATGAATATGATAAATTTCATTTTCGGTCAAATGTTTCCTGAAAGTCATTTTATAAACAAAATTGAAAGATAAAGAAATGTGAAAGATTTGAGAAAGTATTGAAGTCATATTTCAATAACACTTTCATATTGAAAGGCCAGTAAGAACTACACAAAGCTAGAATGAGGTACCAAACCATGTTTTCTTGACTTACTTTGTAATCTAATCACTAGAGCATGGAAGTTCAGGCATTTACATATTTTACTAAGAAACCATTTATTGCACCCAAAATAGGAGCACAAAAATTGCATGTAAAACTCTACAAATGCATTTAAAAAACAGGAATGTATTGAAAATAATTTAATGTAATGTAACAACTCTAATATTTATTAAAATGTTGATATTTACAGTAGTACTTATTTGAAAACTTGATCTTCCCTGTCACCTTGAAGACACACCAGATATTTCTTAAAATTGTTTGGTAAACTCAACTGCCTGTCAGAAACAATATTATTACTGAAATAATACATCCTGTCATGCAATATCGCAATGCTTCTCTTATGAAGGGGACTGAACTACTGTCTTTTGAATCCTCAAATAACAATAACAAAACACCCTTTTTTCATTCTTCAAATTAGTGTAATTATCACCACTGTTCCTAGACTTATCACATCAGGTACAGAGTAATATCACCTTGAGGTCTTGGAGGTCGAACTCGAGGGCTGGATGGGATTCCTCATAACTGAAGAATATTGGGAGACATCAATTTAAAAAAATTCAAGAAATTGGTCCAGATTCTATTACCTTACTAAGCAGCTTTCAACACTTCCTATCTCTGGTACCTGGATTCATAACGTCCTGCCTGATATCTCGTGCTGCTTGCACAGGAAGGCAAAATGTGACGAGTTTCCAAAAGGTTGTCCAGGTTTGTAAATGAGGTTCCAGATTGATCAACATCAGGAAAAAAGGATAAATAATAAAGAAGGTAAAAATAGGGCAAGGTACTTAAATAGCCTTCAGAAATTAAATGGAACCTTTGTATAACAATTCCAGATGCAGTTTTATGACTCCAATTGTTGAAAAACCATAACAATAATACAACATTTTGCCAAACTTGCAGTCTCTATAAATCACTAATACCCAAATCTACATCTACTTAAACACTATTACTGCAGTTATCAATGAAATAGACTTATCCTTGAGGGCAATGCTTACCAGGTCCCGCTGGTCCTCTTGAATAAGATCCATTTTGTGAATAAGACAGAAAATCTTAGCTTCAGGAGAGTTTTCTAAAATAGCTTCAAGACAGCTCTGATAATAATGCATGTCTTTATCTATTTCTCTGCTCTCGACATCAAAAACATAAATAAGCACTTCTACATTTCGAAATATGTTATCTCTCTGACTAACAAAATAGTTTTCCATAAAAGCTTCTTGCCTGTAGAAATATTTGTGGAATGAAACATATTAATTACTGAAGAATATGGATGTTACATTTGTACAATAATAAAAAGGCAGAAAGAAAAAGAAAAAATGACAACGGAATGATTTTATCATACTTACCCTCCACAGTCCCATAAGTTAAGAACTAAATTTCCTAAAAATCTCACATGAGAATGTTCAACATCAACTGTAAATAAAACATTAACTTATTTAAGGAACCGCTCTATACAAAAATCTTATTACAGAAAAGTTCATTATCATGACATGAAAATAAATACTCACTAGTAGCACCTAACCGCCTAGTATCTCTGGCTATATAATTGGCAAATATGATTGATCGCATTGATGTTTTCCCTGATCCACTTTTCCCCATCAATAAGACCTATCAAATAAATAAAAAAATATTTATGCTATTTCTACTATGTAGAACATTACACACAAAACAATTAGTTATGAAAGGTAACACAGCAAAAATCTGACAGTTTAATTACTTTGTATAACATTTTAATTGATTCTCGAACTTGACAGCAGACGATGAGTCACCAAACTCACATGACTGTATCAAAACACAAGAGTAGTTAGGGCACTTACCTTTTTCTTCATGATGAAAATTGAGTGTTCTTAAGAGCGTTTAAAATAAGCAAAAAAATGTAATCGATGTAACAGTAACAACTGCAACTAATTAATAAATACTATGTGATTCAAGAAAGGGACGTCAATCTCAAATTATATTGAGTCCACAAATGTATGCACTACTTTGCAAGAGCATTTCGTACTGTGCTACAAATTCATAGAGGGTCAAGTTCTGACAGCAGTGCTGTTTACTCCATGTCCTTGCAGTCCGAGATGGTGCTACACTCTTTAGGCAAGTTTATTTCTCTCATCCCAAAGGATCATCTTATAAAGTTCCAAAGAGTTATTGTTTCTGTATTAAAAACTATGACTGTTTGATTTTTCGTCAAAAACTATTTGAAATGAACTCAAGTTCGAAATCTGCTCATTTTTTACTCGAAATATTAACTTCAGAGAAGTGTCACCTGTATCACTGATATCCGCTTCGCAGGAGTACATTATCTTTGCTTTAATGGGGGTGGCTCATGGCGGCGACAAAGGGGTTATTGTAGAGAGAAAATTAGCAAGGGATATTGCCATGAGTAATTACTTTTCCTTTTAGTTTGACCAACACTTAAGTGCTCTGGAATGTGTAAGGGCGATTGACAAAGTATCCTCCCAGAAAGACGTTAGGAAGGTGAGACTGGGCATCGAGATGAGAAGTATCTTGTGACACCACTCGTATTAGTCAGCTTGGAAGTTACCTTAGTCAACACCTTTTTAAGAAAAACTACTTCGGAAGAGTGTAGTGGAGTCGCATGATATGTTACTTGATGTGTGAATACCGTGTTGTAAGAGAAATTTCCTAATAGTGGTCGTGTTAATTGGTAGGTTTGGAGCAGTGGGCAGGTTGTAATTGAGTTGGGGTAGTCAAGTGTCATCATGTCAGACGACGAAGACAAGCCTCCGGCGCCTCCTGTGCGTCTGACAAGTAACCGGTGAGTTTTCTTGATGATTAAGCAAATTGTAAGGAATTTATCCGAACTTCCAGGAAGATAAGAATAGCAGAAATGAATGTTTCTCACTGCTCAATTTCAGGGGAGACTCCACTCCAAATTTACCGGTGGACATGCGACCCCTCCCCAAAGAACCTGACTCAGATGACAGGAAGAAGAAAATGTTAAAAGGAAAGATGAAGAAAGCAGTATTGAAAGAGTCAGAAAAACCCAACATTTCATACCCCACCAATTTTGAACATACTGTGCATGTTGGGTTTGATGCTGTGACAGGCGAGTTCACGGTAAGAACCATTTGTGTTAAGCTTGAAATAAAACCTTCCCTTGTAGTATTTTGAGGCCTCCATTTGAGCAAACAGTTTGGCTTCAAGTACTACAGTTTTCTTGGTGTGTATTGTCATGGATCACCCCTTTCTTTGAAAATTGTTTATTCTTAAAAATCATGTTATTTAATGTGTGATTCAAAGCACACTCATAGTACCTATAATGTGGTACTTGAACTCATGTTACTATCAGTTTGTATGTTTGTGATGTGGACTGTTTGCAAATAAATTTTTACTCCTTTTGCCTTCAAACAGCTCTTTGTGTAATGAGAGATAGTAGTTGCAAAGTAAATTACGCATTACTTATCTTTCTCATTACACTCTGAGTTTATATCTCCCGTGCACAGTTTGCTGCTTCATCCACGCCTTGCGCTGCTTGGTTGGCCTTAAAAAATTTTGTATTATCCAACAAATTACATTTCCTTTTCTATTTTTAGTGGTTTCTTAACCACAGTTTGTGGTGATATTTATGACAGCATTTCTATGTATGAAAAGTCAATTACTTGTGCAGAAACAGTAGACTTTCTCTGTTGAGTGCCTGTGGATTGAATGAGGGCTAAGAAGTATGTACAACCTTGTAACGTAAAATTGAGGAGAGTATGTATTAGACATCTATGAAGATTTTGCAACAGCCCAAACATTCCTGCATTTTGCAGTTGGTAGTGGAGCTGAGCATGGGTAGTTCCAATTGATTCTATTGGACCCAGAACACTGACTGTCTGGGACTTGATATGTGTAGATAATCTATCAGGCTAGCTTAAATCATTGCCATGTAGTTCTTGCAGTGTTGGCCTCTTGGCTGCTACCTGCAATGTTTGGTAGTTTTATACCCTTTTAGCTCTTTGTATTGTTGTGTACTTTAGTATTGTCTCATGTTTGGTCCAATAGTGGATGAAATTGGTCATGTATTAAATACGCAAAAGGGTTATTCACGCAAAAAGGGTTATGAAAGCAACACAGACTAAAGGTGTAAATGCATCATATTCTAGCTTATTGCTTAACACTTAGATTTTTATTTCAAAAGAATCTCTGCTGTAAGAACAAACAACCCAGTTGGCCAATTTTTGAAACAAGAGAGACCATTTGTACTCTCATTAGGATGCAGAGACAGGAACACAGTCAAATGTAGCATTATGTTTAGATGCTTGACAATACACATGTGCAGAATTCCCCGCATAAAGGGACTGTACGTCATTGCAGCCCTACATTACAATCCACAAGTGTCTTGTGAGGAGAACTACTGTATTATGGTGTGTGTGATTTGGTTGGCTTCTTATATCTGGTTTATTCTGGTATTTTGGGAAAACCGACCATTTGTTTCCTTTTTTTGTTTCAAGCTGCCATTGAAAGTAAGTAATTTGGTTTGGAAGAGACATGTTCTCGTTTTTTCCTGACTTATCTTATGGTTCTGTTGTCTGTGTTGTGAGTAGACAGCTTGTAGGGGCGTGGTTGTGAGCGCCTAGCTTTCGATGTTGCTTTCGTGGCATTTAGAATAGGAATTTGTGTTTTGTACAATGCTGTTGGGCATGCTTATGTAGCAGTAGATGAGGAAATAGAGTCCACCTCTGGTCTGGTAGTAGTCTTATGAGATTGATAAGATTGTTGACAAGAGATAAAGTACAAAGATACTTCAGTTAATTCTTTGAATGGTGTGTGTGTGATCCTTACCAGTATAAGTACAAGACCTGAGGTGTGACATCTAACCTGTCAGCGATGGGAACTTACAAGGTGACAGGCAAGCTGCACACTTTTATTAATGGTAATGTGTATGTGTGCAGTAGAAAATGTTTGTGCATTGCCAGGATTTTGGTAGTAGGTTATTGGAAATTATAATGATGCCAAACCTTGGTTGCATGTGGGGGCAAATATCCTATTGAGTGATTGTGTATTTGCATGCCGTGGTGTGTATTTAAAATGGAGAAACTAGTTCTCAAGATTCCGCTCAAATCGTATAAAGGAGGTATGATCTGTATTGGAAAGAAGGGAAGGATGTAACCGATGGTAGACATTTCTTAAATTAGTTACAGAATTGAAGGTTTTGGCGCTATAAAAATTAATTTGATCACTGGTAGACGTTAAAAATCGACGGTTCAGTGTAATTTCTATCCATTTTCACTTGTTTAGTAGCACCCTGCTTGAATTCCTTCCCGAGTCGCTTAACCACATCTGGTATTTTATTAATACCCCTCGCCATATCCATCGAAACCGCCGTACGTTGTGCGGTCTCCGCCAGTGTTTTTGCATTTCCTTCCATCCTGCGCACCTGTTTGCACTGACCCCTCCCCCTTCCCCTCAATGCGAGCCTGTTTGCACGCGGGCCCCCTCCCTCACCCCCTGCCTTCTGAGCACCAAGGACAAGGACAGCGCGGGCTTGTAAGCTGCAGTTCGAAAGCAGAATTTGACTATAAACCTCGATTTAGATAAACGATACGGAAAGCAGATTAAAATTAAAATCTTGTAGAGGGCCTTCGCACTTTTTGCCTTTTCAAGTCCTCCTATGTAAGCGAGGCTTCCATACAGTAAACGTTCAAGCCCGTGCGTTAATGAGACGGCTAACGTCCGCAACTAATTTCCACTTTAGCCGGTAATAGTTCATTATTCAAAACGGATGTGTAAAGTCCAAAGTAGGAACAAATTTGAAACAATTTTCGGACTTGAGCCAGATAAAGTTCACATTAACCAACACGAGGTGAAATCCGTCACGTTGACGAAGAACAGAAAATAGGAACGAGGAATTGAAAACGATCTGATTAACAAGAAACGACTGTTTGTGGGAAGTTTTTAAGGCTGACTAACAACGGGCATAGTTTCGAGTACCACTGCGTCAGTCATTAATTTCTATTTACTTGATACTACTTAACCTAACCTCACCTCTCTAAGTATTTCAATTAACGTTGCTACGCATTTCAGAGTCGGCTAAGAAACTTCGAACTTCGGGATCTACACAAAAAATTGAGTTTATGCAACTACAATTTCCAACACATTTTTATGTCGAAATTTGTCGTAAAAACACGAATTGCCTTACACTCGGAACTTACTTTATCCAACGCACTGTGGGTAATGTCAACATTAGACGGGCAAAGTCCGAAATGATCCGTTCGTCGCCATTCTAACGGCTTTATCCAAACAGACTGGCTGATATGCGAATGAAGTGGCTAGTCCTGACGATCGACCTCGATCAAACCTCGGCCGTAGCATATCGTAGTGCGGCACGCGCGGCCCTCTACTCCCCAGCGGCTCTGGGCGGGAGTGGCGCGGCGCCGCGCCGCGCCGCAGCGTGACTCACCGGCCGCCGCGTGGTTCGCAGCTGTTATCAGCGCCTGAGCCGCCCCCGCACAATCGCGAACCGAACCTGGACAGATATCTATCTTCCAGCGATGGGAGCACAAAGGCATTCTTACGTTTTTGATGGCTGTCTCCCATAGGTTTGCGCGCAGGTAAAGTCCATTAGCCTCGGCAAAAAAAAAAAAAAAAAAAAAAAAAAAAAAAAAAAAAAAAAAAAAAAAAAAACCCTTAAATAAGCTCAATCGACGATCTTCCCCCTTTTCTAACGGGCAATTTGGGGAAGAAGCTCTCAGCCATCTGGCAACCGTGTAAATAGTTTATCATGAAATTGATTATATTGGTTAAATGTATCATACATGTTATGATTTTATTCTTCTTGTAACTTTTATTTACTATTAAAATATGGCATATGTAAATAAAGTGTTAATTGGAAAAAGAAATGTAGTTGGCCAGCTCTTGTTGTAGGCCGCGCACGTGGTGTTGCTCCTTGGTCTCTTTTCCCCCGGAGGAGTGTTCTTAGTTCGATAGTGTTAGGAGTAAGCGCGATGGGCATAATGGGCGAATAATGCGTGAATGCATTGGAAAGATCCCATTCCTCGGCTGGGGGCGTTGAAGCGGTGCATGCTATCGGGGCCTCCAGGGTTGTCCAACTGGCGGCCCGCAAAATGTTATTAGTCAACAGTGAAAGTCCCCAGCAATCATGTCGGACGAGAACTTTATGCCCCTGGCGCACGTGCCCTGCCGGGATCAACGCCCCCTTTAATGTCGAAGTAGGTGAAGTTAAGATTTAAGTATTTATTTTTCTAGTAACTTCAGAATTACCCCAATGTGTTACACTGCATTACGCATAGTACAGCCTGATATCACGCATGGTTCCATCCTCCCCGTTTCAGAGCAGCTGGGCAAAGTTCTGGAATCAACATTGGTCAGGTGTGGATCACCCGAGAAATGAAAATATGGCCCGCAACCATATTAAAGGTTTTAGTTGTGGCCTTGGAAGTTGGACACCCCTGGACCGAAACAGCATTACGATAATTACGAATCATAAAGTGATAATCTACGGTCTCTGCATTCGGACACGTGTGTGTATGTATGTATGGCAGTGAACGGGTCACCTCATTCAATGCCATGTCAACTAACTAGAACACTTTTTTCTCTTTAAAAATATTTTCATTTAATGAATCCAAATAATGCACATTGTTGTGATACATTTTTCTTTATCATATGACGAATAAGCCTTAGATTTCTCAATTCTAAAAATTCCTTTCCTCGGTTTTTAACTCAAGTCATAACATTTCAGAACACATTACTTGTAGTGTTTTAATCGCTTTACCGTTAGGAAAATTGAATGTACAACGAGTAATATGCAGTTATTACAATAGGTAAGTATTACTCTCCACGAGGCGAGCGCTCAAAAAATCAACTGCCGTTAAGCTTAGTCGAACTCGCTGAGTTTGTTTCCAGTACTGCTAGTATTCCTCTTCGACCAGGGAGAACAGTGAATGCCATTTCTGAAATTGAGAGCGTATGTAAGGATTTGTGCTTTATTTTAGAATATCTTACAATGGAACATAATGGAGAGAAAAGTTGATAATCCAAACCTCGATGATTTTGAGAAACGAAAACATTTATTTTAGCGCGACAGTTTCAGGTGTGGTTTATCAGTGTGCGTTGGT